CCTTTAAGGTAAGCACTGCCGGTGAATGACGGAAACATGGGCGTACCGATCAGGGGGAGGGGGGGGGGGACAAGGGGGCGGCTTGCACCCCCAGTTCTCAGAGTGGGGGGCAAGGCATCTGTTTCTCTAATATTGCAGACTGCAACAAAGGTGTCGTCTGTTCTTGTAGAGCAACTTCAGCCTCCCCGCCTCAGCAATGCGGATAGCAAGTCGTCTGCTTCTTTGCGCGGGAGTTGCGGTGTCGTCAGAACGACACTGAGCTCTGATTGGCTTTGATTAAAAGTATAGGGTGTTTTCACTGACGTAATTTCGTCCACCATTTTGTTGTTGTGCGCTGTCTGGGTGTGCCAAACTCGAGCATTCCAAGGATTTACAAGCTCCCTCAAATGCGTAGAGCACCGCTGACATCATCTCAATCGGTTACGATGTAACCCTTCAATGTAGTAAATTTGTTTGAAAAAACAAACTAACAACAAAATGGCGAATGGACCTTTTTCGAGAAGCGTTCTGCGCACGCGCGAGCGCCCGATGCCAAGCGGTGGAAGTCGGCACGAAAAATCGAGGAAATTCGGAATGAAGCTGTAAATCGACGAGTAGAACACGTAATTGCAGCATATATATAATTGTGTTACACAAAAAAAAGAAAGTGGACGGAAAGAAAAACACGACGTTTGGGTGGACGCTACGGATTTCCCTCTTTAAAGTCGCGTTGGGCACGCGACGCTGCTCAGAGAGCGAAGCAACTGGTTACGTAGCTCCCATTATCGATGGTAGCGCAGGTAGGTCACTTCCTCGATTTTTAGTTCGTGCAGCCACCGCCTGGTGCCGTCGGTATTTGGAAAAGGTCCATTGACGTCATGTGCAAACAACCTATGGTGGGTAAACCCCAATGCTAGACGCCTTGAGGTCTATCCACTATATTTTTCGATCAGCCAGTAAGAACTCGGCGTTCTGACATCAACGCAACTTCTGTGCAAGAAGCAGACGACCTTGCGCTCCGCATACCACCTAGAAGCCCAACCACAGGGGACGTTTTTCACGCGCTTTGCCCGCGTCAGTGTCACCTCGCGTCGGCGCGCGTCGCTCTGTGCCGATACCTGTCCCAGGGCCCGGCCAGACCTCAACGACGACCCGCGCGTCGAATTGCTCAGTCTTGGTGACCTCGAGCAACGTGCGCAGACGCTAACCCTCCAGACGAAAATCGTGAAAAAACATTCCTTGAGGTTGCTTAGACCGGTGGGCCGGGCACCAACTGTGTACTCGATCGAAAAGTAAAACCAGCAACCGTGAATGCTCGCAAATTGCAACTGCCCGCATTTAGTATCATTTTAATTATTCTGATCACATTCGATTTTAATTTAATATCGGGAGGGGGCCGGAAGTAGATTTCACTGCCACGCGCATCATTTGATTTCTGCAATCAGACTGTGAGATTCGGTGCACGACGTCCGCACTCTCTCACTTTGTTTCTTTCTCTTGTGTTTCATAATAGCCATTACACCCAAGATTCGGGCCTTGACTGTCATTTAATTCGAGTAATCGTGCTTTATACGAACTCGAGGAACAAATCGAAGCAGGAACACGAGCGTCTAGGCCGTATAGTTGTCCGTGCCCTTTCAGTTGTTGGGTTCGAGCTTTACCGCCGATCATTTTAACGTTTACGCCGATCATAGCGACCTGTCGTTTATCGCAGCAGTAATTAATTGAATGAGTATGCTCAAACAATAACGAGTAAAACGTACTCCCGCTATTTAACCTCATGCGCAAAGCTTCTTCGAGAGCAGCCAGACGGAAGACGGAAGGTGCGGCCGAAGCCCAGCTGCCGCCGTCGTTTGCCCGCTACCGAAATACGAAGCGTACTTCGGCTAGTTTTCTGCGTTCACTAGCCAAATGACTCGTTTGTTTTGACGTTTAGGCACAGATGAACCCGATTTTCAGGCACTAAAAAGCGACAAAGGTGAAAGGTGCACAGACGCGAGACAAAAAGATAGGCTTAGGGCGGTCACTTTATAGGAAGAGTACGGTCAGCTCCCGCAGTTTGGTAGGAAAATGGCGGCCGGGGGAGGTGCGTAGGAAAACACGCATTGGCCGTTCTCGCGTTTCAGCGTGGACTCGTATGCCGATTTGTGCATCTTTTGGGGCAGAGTCAAGACGCGGAGACCGCCGAGGCCGAACAATCCTTCTAAAAAAGAGCACGGAGAATCGGCTGGCATTCTGTTATCGCGTGAGTATTCGCATTTTGAACGTTCTCGATGTTGACATGTGGCCTGCACGTTGAGGTTGCCGTGTTAGCTTTCTTTGCGCTCAGAAATAGTAGGTTCTCGTAATCGAATGGTTGCCCCGCTTTATATCTCCAAAGCGCAGTGGTGCAGTGTTGGGAGGCGGGTAAAGGACATCGGAACTTGCCCTTGTCACACGTTGTTCGTGCGACGCTGCGAAGCCAGTGAATTTCGAACACCATCGGATTTTCTGAGTGCCATGCCCTGCTTGTTATGCGGTTTATCGGGGAAGTTCTCGTAATTTCTTAGCGAATGGAATAGACAGTCTTCAGGAACTTCGACCTCTCCTCACGGGGATACCGCTTATATTTCAAGAAATGGTGCAGACGATAAGCCATCCTTACATAAAGGCACAGAGTTCTGTCCTTGCCTAGACGACAAGAGTACCAATGAGTTGACCTTCCACGAACGCGCAGTGGTAACTGGCCGACTGCAACAAGATACACCCATGCTTATCCCTCTCGGAGTCATTAGACCAACTTTCTTATTGGCAAACTTTGCTCTGACAAGGGTCTGAATCCTGCGAGTTGTCGATTCGGCTATGTATGGAACTGTAGACCGCGAGTTGTTGACTCAAACTTTTCCGTAGCCGCCAGGAAGAGCATGAGCCCGCGACCCTGGCACCGTTTTCAGGACTTATATTGGAAACACGTCTCATGATCTAAGCGATGTTCGCAAGCTCAAGTTCGCATTAGATCACCCCGTATATTTTAAGCGAACGCCGTGTCTATTCGTTAGACTCGTGACTGCAGCGCGTGGCGAAGTGAACAAGACATCTGCGCGCGCAATCTCCTTGAAGACCGACTGCGCAAACTGTGGCGGCTTTTTGTCCCCCGGTGTGTAAGCCCGATGTGTGTCATCGGCACCGTAGCCCATAAAGAAACAAAAAGGGTGAATGTTAGCTGTTATTCTAAGCCTTTTACTCGACGTGGTCATCTCAGATAACCGTCGGCTGAGTCGGTCACCACACACTCCAGTTGGGACTTGAATCGCCGCTTCGTTCTTGCATCCTTCTAATATTCAATTGGGGTAGATTCACAAAATCGGGGCAAGAATACGTTTTTCACCACCGCTAAGGCATATGAAAACCAAATTTCATCAATAAGGGCGACCGTGTGTGCCAGGCGGAGTTTGCCATCGGCGGGAAACGAACGCGGAGAAGGGGAGGGGGGACTCAAGCGATGTGCGAAGTTCGGAGCGTGTGTGTGCTCCGCACGCTGGTCGGTGTCGAGGTGTGCGCCGCGCGGACCGCGTCCACCGCGTCCACAGCTGGTGCCACTCGATCGCTACCACTTGGATACCTGGTGTAGGCCTTTCCCGACCCCACCGCGATCTCCGAGGGGGCCCTCGGCGGGTCCAGGGGCCAGTACCGCCGCCGGACGCGCTACCGGAGCGCCGAGCGGCTGCGATCGCCGCTAGGCCTAACGCCGTTCGTCTGTTTACGCGGCTCGGGTGGTGCACTTGAAGTGAGGAGTGCGCGAGCCGCTTTCTCCGAACTTGGGCGATGCTGCAACTTCGTGCGGACCGAGGTGCGTACGCTGTTCCGCTTGTTTTATTTCTTGCTGGGCTTGCGGCGCCTTTCGGCTACGAAATGTGAGGCGCCGCGGGCCTGCGTTCGCCTTGCGGGGGACTGCGCGGAAGGTCCGTGGCGTGCTGACTTGGTGTTCGCTTCAGGCCACCGTGCTTCAGGCTCTAGCTTCGAACAGATGCCTTCGCATTTGCGTGCCCCCACAGTAAATGCAATGGGCTGTTGTTACAGTGCTTTTTTTCTTCTCTCTTTAAATAATTTTTCGGGATTTTTAGAGGGCGATTTGTGCGGACAATGGAGTTGGTCGTTCGGATGGCGTTGAGGTGACCGCATGGGGCCACATCGCTCTTTTCTCGTGCTTAAAAAGATAACGGCTAGGCGTGTCGATTTCATGGGCACTTGGAGGACAAGCACACCGTATGTGGTATCACGATCAGCAAACCGCTGACGAAAAGTGAGACACATCGCTGAGCCGTGGTTCGAACGCTCAGGTTCGAGCCCACTAGCGACAGATGCTTTTGGGGGAAAACTGCTGCATCATCGCGAGTCTGCCAAACTGCGTGCTTTTGATCCTAGGATCGAGCTTCTGGTCAGGGTTAGCATTGGACATGGCGTTCTTGCACGTGGCCGCTGGTGTTCATCGTGAGAGCGCTGTTTCCAGTAAAGGGAACCTGCTTCCTCGTAAATACGCAATGGATCTTTCTAAATGTTTTTAAAGTATGCCATCGAGTTTGCGACCCCTGGAGAGGCGTCAGCCGGGAAAGCGCCGCTGTGCGTCGAGCGCACTGATCTTTTATTTGTACTCCTCGTCGTTTCCATGGAACTCTTTATAAGGGCCAATGGGAATTCCGAGCGTCCTGGTTAGCTGCTGCAGCTGTTATAAGGATTGTAGCATTGCAGACACGTGCTATGTCCCTTCATGGCGGCCGGGCGGCGGTTAGGGTTAGCTGAGCGCTGGCGAGGGGCGCTGCGTGTTTCATAGAATGCGTGATGGAGTATTGAGCTACTGGAATGGTTAGCATATAGGCTGATGTGTCCTTACTTCAAACGATGCGCAACTCTGTCAGCCGCCAGCCGCTAGTCGTTTTTTACGCACAACCACAAATTGACGATGGCGATCTGTCTTGTGATGGGATGATGACATTCCTTGTGGTACAAATCTTGTTTGTTTCATTTGGACCGCACCCTTTTTAATGCCTTGGAATTACTTCTTTAGTGCTACCTACATCTTAGGGCTTGTTCAGTGAAGTAAAAAGGACAATTGTTCTTAAGCGTACATCTTCCTTCCACAAGAATATATGTTTTACAAAAAAGCAAAGTGAATCTCTCCTAAAAGTATACAGAAAAGCCCTTTGGGCAAGGAGTGTGTATTTGTCAAGCAAACCACTTTAAAAGAAAGGTTAGGCCACACGATGCTTTGCTTTTTTCAACAACTTTTTTTGTTTGGAATGGGCATGTTTCGTCCGAGTTGTCATGGTCACACTGAGGTCCGTTGCTGATACATCTTAGGAATCCTGTTGTCAGCCACATATTTTACTGGTTTGTTTCTGTTTTGTTCCTTTAGACATTTTGACATTGGATGCTTAGGTAACATCTATAATTTCATAGTAATTGTGCAAGCTGCCTTTTTTTTTAATACAAAAGCACATTTGGCAAAAATACTTCATTTTAGTTTGAAGAAAGCAGTGTCATGTCTCGTTTAACTTTTAAATAGCATTTTATATCAACTGAAAAGGGGTCTACAGGTAGACCACACACAAATAAGGGACAGATAAGGCATGTCTTTGGTTGTAAATGTCTGTTTATTTCTTTTTTTAGATATTGTATGTCTATGTTTTGTATATCTCAGGTTTCATATGTCTATGTTTAACCAGCTCGCCTGCCTTATTATTTTCTTAAATTCTGGTATGCAGGTTTTATATACTATTGTCCAAAGTCCTGTCACCTTGATCCGTTCGATTTTCCGGTTTCTGATGTGACGCTTTTACAACATTTAGCCAGCTGTGTGCAAAGAAAGAATTTATTTCTCCTAGGACTTTTTTTTTGTCTTTATGCTCTCATTGTTTCTGCTATTTGATTATCAGCAGATTTCTCGTGGGTGGTTATAAGACAGTCATTGCACACGCAACATGTCTCATGAGAAAATCACATAAATCATTCAGCGAAAAAATTTTGTCGTGGGATCTACATATCATTTAATATTCAACTCTTCCAGTTGGTGTTAAAGCAGAGATTTATAATACTGTATTATTGCGATCTTGTCTGGGTTGGCACCACAGCACGCAGTCTTCGCAGAAATATTTGGCTAAAAATGGTTACTCCTACTTAACACAACGAAGACGTCACCAAAAACATAGACGTTTTGCCAGCCATGCGTGTGGCATCTGCAGTATGAACTGATGCAAATGAGGCGAGAGCCTGCCAGTCGCAACTTACCGCAAATGTCCTAGTAAACATCCAATTGAGGGCCACGGTTGGTGTTGTACACGGATGAGTCGCATCGGACAAACTACGACCACAGAAGCTTTCTTGGGCCCCAGCACTGCTTTCTTGCCAAGGTCGATGCATTGCTAAATGCTAAAATGGAAGGCTTGTCCTGTTGTCCAGCTGTGCTCGGAGCACATCTTCCATTTCGACAGTGCCTTGGCAAGAGAACAACAATGTTAAGGCCCAAGAAAGCTTCTGGAGTTGTTGAACCACTTCCCACTACCGGACGTTTACAAGGAGTTTTGCGATAGGTAGTTACTGGCAGGCTCTTGGCTCATTTGCATCAGTTCCTATCGAAGATGCCACCTGCGTGGGTGGCAAAACATATCTTTTTTGTTGTGTTAAGTCGGAGTAAGCGTTTTTAACCTTGAGTTCTCCCGACTTATGGAACGTTTTTGCACAAATATATGGCTCATAAAACAATGCTTGGAGTTATCACAGTGCGAGAGCCTATGACTCATACTCTGAAATTTTTATCTGGAATCTGGAACTAATAAAAAGCAAACTTGCAAATGAAATTGCAGAAGAAGAGCAACTTTTACTGGAACTAGCTACATTAGAAAAATAAATCAATCTAGCTCACTTGGCCCGCTTCAGTAATAACAATACCATTCATGTTTTTAGAGCAGAAGAGCTTTGCCAGTCAGTTCATATATGCTTTTCATGGGTTTTAGAGAAAGGGCTGACCTTGATAAGATATCTAACAAACAGTTACACTCTCCTTTTTTTTACATAATTGGTGTTTGCTGTGGCTCATGTACCCAGCTCCTACTTCCTACTTTTATTAAATTAGAGCTTTCTCTATGTTTGTGTATTTGATTCATGCTTATTGTGTATCTACTACAGTTGTTGGAGCTCGGGGCTTGTCAGTTTTGTGGAGTGTAGTTTCTCCACCACAGTAAACACTTCCTGTCAGCCAGCCCATCCGTGTTTTAATGGAAGACCAGCATTCCTCGATTGTTCAGAGAGAAAGGCATATTTTCACGTGCTCCTAAACTTCAGAAGGTTTGCTGCATTGAGGACTATCGGTTGGTTGTTTTGTGTTTTCGAGTGGAACCAGTGGCGCCTCCAAGCAAACATTTTTTGGTGCCACCGTCTAAGATTTCGTTGAGAGAAGATACATATTTAGCGGAAGACCCTGACTGAGCAGTTTCAAATGTTTGGATACTTGGTGGACTCCGTGAAACTGGGAGTTACAGATTGTTTTTAAGTTCCCTCAGGTTTTCTAAATATGCTTACTTGAAGCTCCTTATTGTTGTTCAGCGAAGACCCACCATTTAGGGCATAGTAATAGTCTTACTGCTTGACTTTTTGCCCCTTGCAACTATAGCTTTCAAGGCTCATAAACCACTATTTTGTGTCGACTGAATGTCCGAAACTGTGGATGAGTCGTTGCTAGCCATGGGCTCCTATTGGTCCGCTTTGATTCCTCAAAACTTTTGCTCTTGGAATTGAAGCGTGTGCAAAAGAAGGCAATGTCTGTGTTCCCCCCCCCCCTTGTGGAAATCTGTAGAGCTGCATTTTGGCAAGTTCGTGGTAACGTGCCATCGCCAGAATGAGAGAGCGCGCAGTGCAGCAGATAGTGTGGTGGATGCAGGTTCGAATTCAGAACAAATATAGCATTGAAACTGTGTAAGGCTTTATTCATTGTATCTGATAAAAGTGCACCCAGTCGCTCTTCAAAGCAGAAAGAAAATGTCAGGGCCGATTTTTTACCTGGATAGCACTCTGCTTTGGCGGTGCAAGTCGCAGCCACTGCCATTTGGCACATTATGTGGCAGCGGAGTGTGGATCCAGGTAATGTAGTTGGGCGAGTCGGTTGGGTTTACTATAATTGGTCGAACGCCATTTCATCAAAACACGTTTCAGAGTTTACGATAAGGAAAGAGGGACATTTAAGACAAAAGGTCAGTAAATGTCCTTCTTTCCTTATCGTAAATTAATAACCAACACGCTCAACCATCTACACTTTTCAGAGAACAGGCACATTTTGAAGCTCATTTTAGAGAAAGCGGGGCATCAGTGTAGAGCAATGACGTTTATGGAAAAGGGGTTGCTGCTTAAAAAAAGGCTGCCCTACTTTGTGCATGTATCACTAGGGCGCTTGTTGACCCCCCCCCCCCCCCCCCCCCACTTCGTTTACGCCAACAGCGGTCCTAGTATCCTTTATTGCACTGCTTTTTTTTTGTTCTGAGTAGATTAATTTACTTGTGGCACTGCCAACAAGCTGGAAGTTTGGTTTTAAGCACCAGTGGTGGATTGGCTTTGCTCTACACGGAGAAGCTATCGTTTCTTCACACCAATGGTCGTTCTCTGGAAGATGAACAAAAGTTCAAAAGAGAGTGCGGCTTCTATACATCTCCGTAATTACTAGCTATAAATTCCTGTTGCCTATAATTTTGTTTTGAACTCTCGGCCATCAGGTTTAAAATGGCATTTCAAACCTGATGGCCGACAGTTCAAAAAAAAAAAAAAGAAATTAAACAAAATTAAAATAAAAACAAAATTGCTCATAGAGCAATTTTGTTTTTATTTTGTATCTTTTGTTGCAGGTAACATGATGTACTCAAACGTTCACATTTTATCACCAGCACTAGCGTCACATTCTCATAAAGTTCCAGCTTGCTTCGATGCATAGTTTATTTATACCCGTACAATCTTCAAAGCACATGCCTGGTTTGCCTGAGTGTGTGTCTGTGATTGTAACTTTTCTTTATTTAGTAGGTGCTTGTATTTCCCTGCTCCTTTCGTTGTGTTTCTAAAATATATATATATATATATATATATATATTTTTTATGAAATAGCCATTTAACACTTTTGCAGTGTCATCCTCCCAGTGTTTCGTTTTTCTGCAGCTATAAAAGAAAAGTCTTATATCATTAAATTTGTTAGTGAACTTTGGGGGGTTAGTGGGGGCTCGCCTCAAACTTGTAACTAAATTCTTTGGTGGCAATTCATTGAGACATTAATTTGTTTGGTCAGTCCAGAGGTGCAGTGCCTCAAAGGCATAGCAAACAGACCCGATCTCATAAATTCCAAAGTGCACAGACTGACGTTTGAATTGCGACTCTTGGCACTGGGTATTTATTTCAGGAAACATATTGAGTTTCTTGCATGGTCATGATGGCTCATGTTTGTCCGCTGAGAGGAGAAAAGCTTTGCTGTGCATTGCAAAAACAGATGGGCTTGTGGTGGTCATCCAGTCGAACGTTGCCACTAACAAACATTTTCTTGTCCGTTTTGATTGGAACAAGCTTCGTACCATCTCTCATTTGTGTTAATCACTACTGAATGACATGCGTTGAAGGCCGTTGCCATATCCAAGCAGAGAAACCTCACTGTTTATAAACACTCATATCAATTTTTTTACACTTTTTCGGCGGTCATCTTCGATTGATTTTGTCTCGTGTCTTGTGCAAGAGTGCCCTCTTCGTGTCTTGGAGGCGGCGGTTGTGATGTTTCTTGGGGAGATAACAAGGTCTTCCAGTAGTGAATCCAAATGCATTTCACTATGGAAGCATGGCAGTTCAACAGATTTGAGAGTGCACTACAGGCTCGGGCAATCTGGTGAACTTGAGACTGAAAGACGGACACATCTGTAGGGGTTTTGTTTCTGTCGTATATCTTTTCTGGTCCCAGATTTTTTTTTTTTTAGATTGTTATGTTGCCATCAAACCATACAATTTGGTTTCCATGAACTACTCGGCGAATTTCACCTTGCCGCCACCTTTGTGCACTGTTTCAGCTTTCTGCAGTGTATGGCTGCCTTGTGTGACACGGATATTCTCGTGAGGTTCTTTAACCTTTGAGCGCCGAATTTTTTTTCCATGTGCCGAACACAAATTTTGTGGAATATAACAGCGCACAAAGGACGAGGACAAAGGAAAGGAACACACAGCGCTTTTGTGTCGTGTGTTCCTTTCCTGTGACCTCATCCCATGTGCGCTGTTATGTTCCACATGTCTTCATGCCAACTAGCCCAGCTCACCACCCTTCTAAGCAAATTTTGGCAACATTTTCATGAGCAAAAAGTTCATTGATGTCTCTATGCCTCCAACATGCAACATATCTCTCGTATTGTCTTGACCTTGCACCCTGAGGGCAATCTTTTGTGTTTTCTTGCTCGGCCCTTGTTTATTCGGAACTGTAACTTCCTCGTTTTCACAGCTGTTGATTACCGAGTTTATTAGTAATTTCAATATCTCGGTGTCCACAAAAAGTGAGGTTGAACTTTTGAATTTGCCATTCTTTAAAGCGACACACCAAAGCAAAAATTGCCTAACCTAACAAAAAAAAAATTATGTGCCATCAAAAAGTGATACCACAAGATAAAATACTGTTTTCATTGCTTCCTCAAACATGCTGCTACATGTAAAAAAAAAGATAGTTGGGAAGGGCAGGGAGCAAACCGAAACTGAAATCATGTGGGAATGTGCATGAACTCGGGCATGGCACTCAAGGGTTAAAGGGGCACTGACACATCAAAATCATATTTTTTTTATTATCCGAAACGATTGAAAACGATGCCGGGACATTACCCTCAAAATTTGAGATTTGGGAATTCAGTATTCGTGAAGTAAAAAAACAATTTCCAAATGCCGAATTCGAAGTTCCCGCGCGATCGGCGCCGGTGCCTTGACGTCAAAAATTGAGGAGACCTGAGAGTCCACTTTCCTGTCACCACTACCTGCTGTTGCCATGGCGACCCAAAGCGAGGAGGATAGGAGCGAACGCCGGCTAGCGCCGGTGTTGCGGCGGACCGGTTTTGAGCGGTGTCGCCTGTTTTCCGTTGGAGGATACAAATCCAGGAGACGGCACCACAACGAACTCCCGATTTTTGGTATTTCAAAAAGAAGGGCCGTAGTGCGTTCGCAATTGCGTTAAAAAACATGTTTTAAGATTGCCGTAATTAAATGTTATAGAGATGTCGCCTACAAAGCTTCTAAATTTCCTGATTTTTGACGTCACCGATCAAAAGAAGCGAGGAGGTGAGAGGCGGGAAAATCAAACGCCAAAAATAAAAAGGCGCGCGCGCGCGCGGGAAAATTTTTTTTCGCGATGCGGTTTTTTTTGCGTGTCTATGACTACAACTTGCATCGTTTTAGACAATAAAAATAAATACGACCTTTGGGGTGTCAGTGCCCCTTTAAAGTGCACTGCACTCCTAAGAAGATATTTCCTTAAGATGCCTAGGCTGATAGGCCACATGCAGGGTTTTTCCCGAGATGTGGACATACTCCAATTTTCAGGGTGTTGGGAGGAAGAGGAGAGGGCGATAGCTGCAACTTTTGGCTTTCTCTACGGGTCTGCAGTGATTTTGTTCGCGGGGATTATGCAGTTCTGTTGCATAGTGCCAGACAAGCCTGCCAAACACGACAATCTGGGGCATTGCACATTATCATGGTTTTGTCTGATGGAGGCAAAACATAAATGTGGGCTGGACATGTAGAGAGGGGCAGTCATCCTGGCTGGTGGTCGTCAAAACTACCGCTGCCCGCTGTGGGAAGAACCTTGGCCACATGGGCCACATCTTTTTTTTTCCTGATCAAAAGAAAATGAGAATGTAATATGCATGCTGTGCAATGCATTTTAAATGCAGCCATGGTCACAGGTTACATACTTATCTCTTCCACACTTTTTTCTTTCACGCTCTTTTTAGGGAACGGAGGAGAAGCGCACAGTGGATGTATCGTATCCTCTATGCTTTCTCCAGCCAATGCGGGTGTAGACGTAGTAGTTGCAAACATTAGGCGCTATTTATTGCACTAATTGATTTTTTTTTTTTTTTGTAGAGGCAAGGTGAATTTTGTGCCATGCATATTCTATTCACACATTTATAAAGTTGTTTTTAGGGGTGCAACATCATTTAAATGCGGTATAGATTTGAAAGTGTTTATCCCATCATCATATTTCTATTAGCAGTTCACTCATTATAACTTTTGTTTATATGTATACAGATATCACGATATCGCTTACTTCTTGCTATAACTTTTGTTGGTTTGTGTGTTTTTAGCACCACCTCTCCCACTTTCTTGCTTTCCTCATGGAATGCATTTCTACATGCATCTGGGGTAAAATTAGGGAAAAAAAGGTTTAATGCTAAGGATAATTTCGGCTGACATACAATGTGGAGCACATTTTGGACTGTGCTGGTTGGTTTCTTGTGGGCTTTTGGGAGCTATGCTGGTTGTTTATTTGCGAGCTTTTCTGAGCTCGGGAATCAATTTAGTGCACTTACCGTGAAACACCGCAGAAGCACCCACTTCGTTCAGGCGCCCGCCATTAACATTTCCCAAACTTGGGGACTCTGCAAATTATATGTTAAGTGCATGATTTGACCGAACAAGCACTCGTGTCTAGATTAACCCAATCTGCAGAAAAAGTGGAGTGGGTGCTCCCCCAATATTTTACAGTAGGTCCCACTAAAGTATTTTACTGCAAAATTTAGCCAGAATATGTGAATTGGTACGTAATTATACACCAAAATTTAGCGGCCAAACGTTTCCCGCTAAATTAAGTAGGACGCAAGTTCACTGAATTTAGCATATCGCATATCTGCATTCCACTTTTTAAGGGGGCGTTTTTTGACGAAACACCAAGCCTATAGACATCCTTCATTAAAAAATTTAAGCGCGTCTCGTTCATCTCCGATAAACTCTTGAGACGCGCAGAGCGTGTCGCGGGTGAGCTGGGCACGTGCTGCGGCTGATGTCACGAGGTCGTGTGTGTGACATTAGCGGTGTCGTGTGACACCTCGATGTCGAGGTAACGATAGCCCTACACAGATTCTGCGCTAAAGCAAACGTCTACCCCCCCCAATAGGCACGGTGTAGTGGAGGTGGGCGGCCGCAAGCGATGCAGTCGGCCCTGGTGTGCCGCAGCCCCACCAAGAGCCCCGCCCCTCCGTCAACCGTGCCGGTGCTGCCCCCCTGGGGACGCCCCCTCCACAACGCCTGGAACCTGAAGCTGCTGGGCCTGCGCAGGGCACAGCAGCAGCAGAGGGCCAGGCAGAAGCCGCGCACGGGCCCCGTGGTCGTCTGCTTAAGGCAGTGCCTCAGGTCAGCAGCAAGCCCTCACTCTGTGTGGGGGAGTTCAAGTATGCCTCCCTAAACGCATCACCGACCGGTGTGTTTAGCGTCCTACGGGGAGCGCAAGTTTGTCCGCTTCTTTTTGCAGGGGTTGTGGTGATGTCAGAAGACCGGGCTCTGATTGGCTCTGATTGAAGGATAGTGGGTAGACCTTGAGGCATGCTTGTTTTGAGGTCAGCCCACTACTCTTCAATCGGAGCCAATCGGAGCTCGGCATTTTGACGTCACCACAACCCCCGCAAAAGAGGCAGACGAACTTGCGCTCCGCATAGACGTCTTGCCGAATTACCCAAGCATGGAACGCTGGGAACATAGGTACAAGCGTTCCACAAACGCTTTATTTCGGTTATTTACTTTGATTCTTTTGCATGTGGAAGGCAAGCAAGCGTGTGCGGTGTGTGTATCTACGTTCCCAGCATTCTCTTTGATGGCTGGGAAATTTGGCGGAAAGGTCTGTTTCGTCCGTGCGTCCAAAGTGGTCCTCGAATGGCAACGAATGACATCACTAAAGCTGAAGCGCCACGCTGTTGGATGTCGCTATCCTGGCAATCGGGCGTAAAATTTAGAAAAAAAGCCTGACCGAACGAGAATGCCACCAGCTCCCGGCTGCTGAGGCTTCTGTGGAGTGTTAGAGCTGGAGAGTGACCCGCAGCAGCAGCTGTAGAACGGACAGCTTATGAAACCGTGTTTAACTTTTCACAACTGCCGGTGGATTAGGCCTATGCCGTCCACTAGCCGCAAGTTACGAATGAGAACTGGGAGTCGTCGGCTCCGCGCTTTGAAATACGCTGTAACGCTGACAGGTTATTTTGTGGGGGATTTGGCGAATTCGGGTCTATTTACTCTAAATACGTCGCACTCACACAGAGGCTTCTTTCCGCACGTTTAGCAGGCGAGGATTTTAGGGGCATGTGGATGCCCGCTGCAGCGCACGGGAAACAGATTATAACGGAGCGAGCAACCTCCTGAAACACAAGAAACGAACAGCGCAATACTCGTTGAAAACAATTTGTTGCCCCAAAGCATGGAGAAAAGTGGCGAACGACGACAACGTTTTCAAACGTAGGGCGTGGGCCCTTTGGCGGGCGACGCTCAAAGAAGCCCTCCCACCAGGGGGAAATCCATGACCGAGTCGGATCTCATAATGGTGGACCTACAGCTGTTAAATGAGCTGCTCTTCGGAGACACTTTGGCCGTCTCGTTGTTAAAAAATAATCGTCGCCAGTCGTAGCTTTATATGAAATGGCAGGAAATGCTAAGATAGTCCGTGGTGCAGCAAAACGTCATTGCTCCAGCTTCTCGACGCCGTGCTGAACGTTGGGGAAGTCGCAGCGTTAAATCGTAGCCGTCGCCAGTTGGACCCACTCCACACTAGGTGACAAAATGGCGGAGACTCCTCTGACGGAGGCTTTTCCCCTCTCTTCCCCCCCCTGTTGGTGACCATAATTAGAGCTAGGGCACCCGGAATGCGTTATAGGCTCTTGCCGGCTACTAATTGTGGTTTTCAATTTTCGCCCAGGCTGCATTCTAAAATTTACGCAATCTGATTCTAGGTTAGGCGTTTCCAAACCTCGGCCCGCGGGGTCTTCCGATAGGCGCACATGCGCGCCAACCGCATAAGCGAAAACACTATAAAAAAGAAACGAGAGAAATCTGTTTGTCGATAAGATGTGTCCTATCGTCAAATTATTATTTGGACGTTGTCATCATTGACATCGCCAGTCCCAGTTCCCCATTTTGTGTCTGTGTAACTATGTAAGCTAAAGTTCTTTTGCTGAATCCAAGCGCAATATCTTATCTATTGCATATTGTCGGCGTCAGTTCTGTCATTCTCATTATTCTTTCGCCCTGCGTAAACGTGCCAAAGTTTCTACGCGCTTCAATTTACGCCTGGCGAGTTTTCTGAGCCCCAATTATTGTGTAATGTCATAATTAGTGAAATATTGAATTTCAACATAACGCAAAGCTTTCACGCACCTTAGATTATTATTATTATTACTATTCTTTTTTACTTAAATTTTTATCTTTGCATTTAGATGCTGATGTAGGAATATTTATTAAATTTATTTCTCATTTACATTTACTTGTTCATTTTCTGGCCCTTGAAACAGTATCAGACCTCGGTCCGCCCCTTGGCCAAAAAGTTTGGGAGACCCCTGTCCTGGGGTAGAAGTTTCGTACATTGGCGTTCGGAAACATACCCGCATCCGGCGTCGCTTTGTCCACATTGTCACATGACGTGATCCACCGGAGTAACTTAGATCCATTTGAGTAAGACTCAGAACGCGTCCACAGCGACGTCGTACGAGCGTCACATTGTCACCGGCTGCAATTCTGGCGGCGTCGCAGCGGCGATGGTGACCACTTTCGGCGTATGGGTGGGACGGGATGCTAAGCACGCCGGCCGGAGACGCGTTCTAGGCTCCGTAGTTGGAGCCAATGATGGCGGCCCGGGCCCACGCACGGCGCCCGCGGTCTTGAGAACCAGGGCGGGCCGAGCAAGCATCCCTTCCCGTGCCCCGCAGCAGTCCGAAGAAGCCGGAGCCGGAACCTTCCCAGGGCGTCGGGGCGGAGGGCGCCGGGGAAGCCGGAGCGGAGCCGGGGCTGCCGGAGGCCACCAGTCCCTCGGAGGAGTCACCTTGCGCAGGCACCGATGGGGCGGGCAGGCCTCTTCTCGCCGACATGCCCGACCTGCTCAGCAGCTCCGCCGACTCCGTCAACCTCGAGGTGAATCCGGCCTCTCGTGCAGTTTGCGTAACGAATCTTCGTTACTATACCCTGTTGCGATTTAAGAAAAGTGGGACAGGCTCCTACACAAAACCCTAAGCTTTTAGCAACTTGGCAGGGCATACTCTCAAGAGGAAGTCGCACGCCCTCCTTGCCTTCTATCGCCTCCTCTCCGACGTTTGCTCTGCCAAAGTTGAAGGAGTATAGGGCTTTGGGGGTGAAGCTTGTTCTGCTTCTCTTAACTTGCAACAGGGTATATATACCTCATCTCACCCTAACTTGCCAAACTTGCCTAATTAGCTGTGTTAGGAGATTTGTGTTTGCCCTTTGTCTTTCTTGTTCCCCTTCTCCAGGGAATATTTTCGTCATTCTTGTCCAGCTCGCTTGCACCTTTGCATTCTAATGGCATTCTAATGGCATTATAATCGTAACCTTAAATTGCAAGCTTCACCCTTGTTGGTGTTAGATTGGTGGCAGCTGATAAAACCCGTTTGCTCTACTGATGTCTAACCCCTGGTTAGCTCAGTTGGTAGAGCGCTCCACCTGTAATGGAGAGGTCCCGGGTTCGATACCGGACCAGGCGGATTTTTTCGGTTGCGCACCAGTCACTAGTGATGGGCCAAACTTTTGCCGAATCGACAGTTCGATGCCGAATCTTGGGATTCGGCAAAGCCAAACTTTTGCCGAACTTCTCTAGAGATTCGGCAAAGATTCGGCAAAAATACAATGTTACCAGACTTACGTTGATATTTTGTTTTTTCTGGCGAAAAAAGGTTTTATGTTGCATTTTTCTTAACTTAAATGCAACATGCAATGCATATTGGTGCAGTTATTACTTAATAAGGTGATATTCTACAAGATAATTGTATCGGGGGTGTTTTTGTGCGTTTACTGGCAATTTTAGTGACTTGTAGAAGTGGCGTGACAAGGAGGTTGGGGAGTAGCAACGTTGGGTAGTAGCGAGCGCAGTCACGAATCGCGCTACGAGTGTTTCGGTTTGGAAGCCTCATCAGCGCAAGCCTGCAAGTGTGTGTGGTGTAAACACAAAGGCAATAATAGCACTGCGGTTTTACTTTCTCTGCGAATCGCCGTTTCGTGCGCGAAAATGAATGCAACGGTTACTGAGCCTTCACCAGAAAAAATAACAATATTATTGTCAATATGCATGTCTTCCGATTTGAGTCACTCCACGTCAGCTTTGCATGAAAGTGTGCGTCCCATATTCGCAACGTCTCGCTTTTAACCTTTAAAGTGCCAGTTTCTGGTGTTAAGACACACACGGACGTTTAGGAAGATGGGAAGAGTTAGGGATGTCGGATGTGCAACGTCGAGCACAAGAGTTCTGTGTTGTTTTATATAGATACATAATCACCGCGAAATAACGCTAATTAAAAAGCAATATTATTTTGTTGTGGCACGAAACTCTTGTGAGCCGAAAACGGGATTGTTATAATTGCAAGGAGTGCTTTAAAGTAATTGTGAGTCAATGTTTCAACTACCTCGTTGCATCACTAAAAAGGTCGAATGAAAATTGCGTCATCCAGAAAGTACCGCATCATCTGTCACTTGTGCAGAGGACTGCGTAAATTATTGGTCAATCTTCTGTTCTTGAGACAGAAACTATTAGAGAGAACCACTATCGCAGAGGCTCACAAACGCCAGTTACCGTGTTGCCTGCTCCCACACCTCGCCGTAAGCACTGGTTGTTCTACACTGTACGAAGGTAACTACACGACCGTACGGCGTCCATTTGCAATCCATGGCCCTGTCACGTTCTCGCGCGTGCGCAGACATTTGCCGAATCTTTGCCGAAATTTCCTTCAAAAGTTCGACATATGCCGAACTTTGCCGAATCTGAAGTTTGACAGATTCGGTCCATCACTACCAGTCACCTAGCTCTGTTAGGAGATTTGTGTTTGTCCTTTGTCCCTCTTGTTCCCCTTCTCCAGGGATTATTTTCGTCATTCGTCCTGCTTACTCATTTTGTTAGTGACGTAGTGAGATTGCACTTTTTTTTTCTATTTCCTTCAAAGCTGAGTGATAAACGAGTTAGTATTTTGTCCTTAAAATTTTAGAAAATGCACCATGCTACTGCCTAACCCTGGCCCAGGAACAAAATTTGCTACAAGTCCGAGCAACTGCAAGAACATGTGTGCTACTCTGCCCATCCGGCAGGCCTTGTCGGGTCTTGTCCGACCTTTCGTCCAGGGTTGAGCACCTCACTCCTCAATTCCCACCCGTCGCCCAATCGGTGTCGAGTTTCGTGGCCACGCTTTTATCCGGGCTTCACTTTCAAGGTTCACAAGATGCCGAACACTTCGCCAAAGAACGTTTCACATTAAAAAACGAGCCCCGAAAAAACGGAACCCTGCATGTAAATAATGGGAGGAAGCTGCGATCCCCTTTTACGTCGGGAAATGAGTCGCCAGGCTTGTGACTTGTCTGGCCGGGACTCAAGACGGTGGGACGGCCTTTGTGTCGGGCGGTGGTTCGCAGAAGGATGCAGGCAGCGTTGACGAGAGACACGCCGTGGCGGTACATGCAGGACTCCCAAGAGGAGCGTGAGGCCATGCCCTGCCTGGAGCCCCTCTTGGACAGAGCCAAGGAGTCTGGGTCTCCCGAGATGCCCCTGCTGACGCCCGCCAAGCTGCACCAGGTGCCCTCCCCTGTCTCTTTGCGGGTACCCTTAAAGGGACACTGAAGTGCTTTTTGTAGAGCCTTGTTTTTGTGTCGTTTTGTTTGTTGGGCTTCAGTCAATAAAAATGACCAGTTCTAGATGGCAAAACTTCCTAATTAACTCACAGAAATTGAAATTCATAGGCATTATGTCTTTGGGGGGGGGGGGCGGGGGCGGGTCGGGGTGTGGCCATCCTCGGTCCCCCAGTACTTTCATAAAATTTGATCAATGAAAATGGTTGCATGGAGACTTCGAACGTCACTATTATTTATCTTTTGAGATGCATTGTGCATTATATTTTGGCAAAGGCGTGAAATCTCTGGGTGTAGCAGACGTAATATTGCAATTGTTCGAAAACGCTGTCTGTCAGTGCCCCCTGGTGTTTGCTCCAAGGCACAGAATGAGGGTCATGTCAAAATCATTGATTAGATTATTAATGGGAAATCTTCCACAGAAATGATTGGGTAGAAAAAAAAAAAAAGACATTTGCATTGAGTTGTACAAGGTAACGTGAAGGAAGGACAGCATAAAACGCGACTATTGTCGGTTACGAGTCAAGATGTTAGAAGAAGCTCCTCCCACAAGCGTGATGCACCCGTTTCAGATCCCTCCGCAGTTGAAAGAAGAGTTCACTGGAAATGCTCCTTGTTCCGCTTCAATGGATAAATAATGGCCACAGAGTGGTGCTAACTTGTCTTCGATCCCCACTTTTTAAGAAAGCGACCTTTGTATCCATCGAAGGGGGAAGCTAATTCCCGAAAGTCGTATTTGTTTCCATCGGAGGGGGGAAACTCTAATCTCCCTCTCATGGCTTCCACAATGCTAAGTCAAAGTCGAAGATAAAGCAAATATGTACAGAAAGGCAAGACCCTTCTCGCGCGTTGGCCGCGACGTCACGGAAACGATGGGACGCTATCGGATGCGGAGGTGGCGGAGGGATATATGATTCCCTTTGAGGGGCATTTGCCGGTACCTTCTTAACCTGTAACCTACTATAGGAAAGAAAAATAAAGACACAAATTCGTGCAAAATCGGTAGTCACGATGCGATTGATTCGGCAGACGTTCGTAGAACACTCGAAGTGGAACAAATATAATGTGGCATAACGAGCGAAGGCAAAACAGTTTTAAAAGTTATCGGCTGTGCATACGAGCCGTTTATACTTCGGACATAGCGTAGTACCAACTGCGCTAATAACGTTTATTTTTTTTTATTTTTTAAATTTTAACATTTTTTGGGGGGTTAGCGAGGTGAAACTAAGTAGGCAGGTTCAAAAGGCCATTTAATTTGGCGCGAATAATGCAGGTACGGGAGTAACTTCCTCCTTGAAAGGTGAATTGTTTGGCACTTTCCAGCATCATCTTCACTAGTATCGATGCATTACTTGAGACACTAGATTCATGTTTCACAATGCTCGCAGTCATCGTTCTTCGTTGGTTATCCGTGTGTGATCGAGACTGCCCCATTCATTGGGAATTTGAGAATGAACATGGTTCAAGCTTGTGCTTATATTCCTGATTTGGCAGAAAGATCTTTAAAACATTAAGAGTGGCTAACGTGGGACATAGTAAACCTTTAGTAGTTTCACCGTAGTGAAATGTTTTTGGGAGAGGCGTACAATCCGAAATCTCAGCGTAGCTGATGCCTCAAGTGGTGCTTTATTGCCTGGTCGTCACCAAACTGCAGTGATACGGCGGCCATCTCTGAAATGTTGACCACGCCATTGTGTAGATGAGACACGGGCTTCTGAGGAAGAAACGCGAAATTGCATCGCGCTTAAAAAAAAATCACAGGCTTCCAAAACGTCGCTGCAGCCCTCCGTTGTTGGAGTGTGTGCCAACGCTACGGCATGGCGTGCCTTGCTCCGACTGCGTGACTAGCTTGCTGGCTTCGGCCAATAGCCGAGTTGTGCCGCAGCGAAGTTCGGACTGCCGGGGACCAGTCATGCTCGCTGCCATGAAGGCTTAGGTTTGAAAAGGGTTCGTTCTACTTGACCTGGTAAAATAATTGGCAAATAGTTGGGATTTTGGGGTCCAAGTCGGAGCCACGAGATGTCCACAGAGTGCCTGGAGTCTCAAGGTCGGAAGTGTCGGAACCTCTTTATGGCAGATGCCGTTGCAACGAGACTGATCCGAGGATCGTGACAACGCCGCTCAAGCAGTTGGCACGCGGCTGGACACTGAATGCCACATAGAATAAACTGAGTTCATAAATTCTTAGAAACAGGTATGTCGTTCTTTGTACGTCGTTAACTAAAGGCACCCCAAAGAATGTTGCCACGTTGCTTTATGGGGTACCACTTGCTCGGAGCCACGAATGTCAAACGACGTAATTTTTTGCCGTATTCCAAATCTTGCTGGTGGACCAATGCCAGATGCGAGTAGCTTTTGAGCTCCAAGGTCCAAAAGATTTTTACTCTGTGCTGAGATGGAGCCAATTGTGTATTCTGAAAGCTTTGCTCGCGGCGTAACCGCGGCGACCGTGCCCCTGGTGCGCAGGACCCGGACCCAGCGGCGGAGAAGGCGAGGTCGGCGCTGAAGCGCTTCCAGGGCAACGTCGAGGTGGACAGCATAGACGGCGTGGACTTCTTCAGTTTTTCCAGCGCCGAGGAACTGCTCGAGTTCACCCACAGCATGGACTGCTTCCCCACGGTACGCGCCGAGCCGCTGGAGCTGGCGGCGCTCGACGACGAAGACGGCGACTCCCACGATCCGGAGACCCGCTGGACGGAGGAGGAGGAAGAGGAGGAGGAGGGGGCGGCGGGGCAGGAGGGGGAGGAGGGGGAGGAGTCATCCGGGTTGCTTCCTCGCAAGACAACGGATGTCACGCAGATCAAGGGGTGGCGCCGGAAGGCGTTCTGCGCCGAACGGCAGCAGGTGGACCGTGCCCTGGAGCAGACGACGCAGTGGGTGCTGGAACAGCAGAGGAGCGACTGCGGGGCCAGGAGCGACCCCGACCAGAGCCCGGGCTCCCCGGCGTCTGCAGATGGGTCCCCTGTAGCGACGCCCGTGGCCGCCCCGCCGGCGCCCGCCACCCGAACTGCTCGCTCTGACGCAGGTAGGTGTTCGCGGTTTGGGTACAGTGCCTGGTACGTGTTACCATGTCCACAAAAGTGGTCCCTCAGTTTTCGCCCAAGGACATTGTAGTTACTTCAAATTAAAAAATGTTTAAACAAATTTAGTCAGATTTAATTTCTATCCATCTCTTGATCTTAGTCGTCATTCCTCTAATCCTCTTTCTACTTCATCAAAACATTTTTTTTTCACTGTTCTCATTAACTTTTAGGGCCCAGAGAAAGTTGACCTTTAAGCGCGACGTCCTTGGGTGGCCGAGCCCTTCACATTCCAAAACGACGTGCTCTGGCATTTTGGTTCCTTCCCCCCATATAACGCACGACCGGGTGGTGACTTGCGCCATCCAGTGGCCACCCCGCTAACCGACGGGGTGCTCTTTTTTCGTGCTGCACAGGGCGTGAGCTATCGCGGGAGGTGCGGTGTGCCTTCGTGAGCTCCTCCCTGGACGAGTTCCTGGAGCACCGGGCAGAGCTGCGAGTGAGCCAGCTGGCGCAGCTGCGCCCCAATATCCGGCCGCCCCCCGTCGGAGCCGGCGTGCTGGCACTCACCGTCTTCGGCCACGAGGAACCCAAGAAGCGGGCGGCCGGGGTGTCCGCCAGGGCCTACAGGGACCCTCACCGGACGGCTCGCACTGCCAAGGTCGGTGGCGTCCTCTCTTTCTCTCTTTGAGGCCAGTTCACACGTTTGCGACGAATGGAGATCCTAGACATTTCCGGTCTGATGGCGGATGCCTCCTGCGCAGAGTGGTTTAAGTGTGCGTGCATTGTGTCGTTTTGAGCCAAGGAGGAAAGTGGGTGGAGACGTTTGTAGACAACGAACGCCTGCAGCTTCTCCTCTTGGCTCGTGTTGCAAATGCAACCCGTAAGTCACGTGACCTCGATCAAGCATTTGGAAACATTTTGAAATGTAACCACACCGACAACAAGAGGACGTGCTGGCGTCGTCTGTCGGGCAGCCCCGGAACACTCGCCATGTGCATATGCTTCCCATCTTTTTCGAGCGTCGTGTTTTCGGGACAAGTGGACGTTGGGGACGTTCACTTGTCCCGGGTAGCACATACGTTTGACCTTGCAAATACTGCAAAAACTACGCCCTAGCGACACGGAGTTCCAGGGCCGCGTCATAGACGGCACTGGCGTGACGCCGTTTTCTCTCGTCGCAAGGACGAGATTTATGACCCCTACAGCACTAAGACCGGGCAGTCCCCAGACGGGAAGGACAACGAAGAAAGCAGGTTGTGACCTCACACTCGCCCGACACGACGTGCGTCATCTCGCCCCACCACTCTGTCCAATCTCCTGGCTCCTGTCCTCGCCAGACGAGACGACTCCGGCTGAGCCGTTTTTCACACACATTCTACTACTCGTCGTAAGGCCGGATGACACGCTTGGTTACAAATAAATGCAAGCGTGCGAGCCGGCTACGACGCGCTTGTTCGACGCCGCCGGCATGCCCATTGGTTGGCTCTGTTAAATTGACCAAACACCCGCCACGACGTTATTAAAGCGGCAATCGTGGGTACACTGCCCGGGACGTGTCTCCGACCTGGCGTCTACCGTGTCGTAAAAAGCGGTCCCTCGATGTCCGCCCGGCGACGTCGTGAAAGTGTCACGTCGTCGCTGGCCGCGATCCTGGCAGCATTGCTGCGGCAGCAGTGGCGGGTGTGGCCGACGCCCGTTCCGCTGCGGGTCGCTCTCTGGCTCGACCGGCTGCGGTAGCTTCGACGGCTGGGAGTTAGGACGCCATGATGGCGGCGTTCCTCGCGTTCGCCCATATGTTTCTCCGGAACTTCTATGCCCAACTGCAAGGATCGCATCGTCCGACAGGGTGACTCTCCGGCTTTTAGGACGTTGTTTGCTGCTACTTCGGTGCATGGGCAGATTAGGACGCTAAGCAGACTGGTTGGAGAGTCGTTCCGTGTACCGTATTCCCGGAGGGAGATATCCGCTGAGGGATGTATGTGACGTCGTTGATGAGCGCGATTCCCTTCTCGGTTTCTTTGTTTCCGGGGATGAGATGCCGGCGGGAAGGGGGACGGTGGTTGACCGAGATGCACTGCAGCCCGGCTCCGATGCCGAGCGAGCCACTAATGGCTCGTCCGATGACGAGATGCCTGGCCTTGTGTAGTTCGGTGACTCTGTCGAGGCAGTTGTAGTTGCGGAGCAAAGGTAGGGCAATGAATTGCGGTACCCCGGTTCAAACTGTGAAGTACCCTTAGCCGGGCCAGGTGCAGGAGCGGGAACGGATACCGAATCTCGGTCTAAAACCGCCGGCCCATGACCGGCGGGAACAGACGTAATGCGGGCTGCCGCACCGAGAATCGCGGCTCCCCGATCATTGGAAGGTAAATGACTGGGACTCTGGGCTGCAGTGTGGGCTACCGAAAAAAACTGATCATCTGTGACCCGGGAAGATTGAAATTGGGGAAGTCTCGGCGTGGTGTATGTGAGCTCAGCTGCATTCCAGGTGGTGCCATCACCTATAGTTAGTGACAGGTCAAGAGTGAAGTGGAAGTTCCTCGCACCTCTCTCCCCTTTAGCGGGGATAAAGCTGGAGGAGAGGAGCCGAGCCCCTCTCCAGCATTTGCTCTGCTAAAGTGGAAAGAGCTGGGAGGAGCTTCCACTTCACTCTTGACCTGTCACAGACTATAACCTATGGGTGGCTGGTCCCGCTTGTTGGTGAATGAGCTGCGGTAGAGAATATTTATTCCGCGTATTTCTTCCGACGTTCGTGATGGGGCATAACCTGGGTGCTTAGCCTTCAAGCCTGGCGTCTGAATAAGTCTTCATTTTGGTCAGATATTCACCGACTATCGGGGAGATCTTGTTGCACGATACGTTGAGGGACGGTACCCTTGGATGTCCCTCGACCTCGTAGATGAAGACGTGTTCCATGATTACGACCATGCGGAAGTAAAGATGGTGTTTCTCCGGTCGCCGCGTGTGCTGTACTTCCACAAACATAGAGATATTCAGTGATTGCTTCAGAAAGCTGTCGACGTTGGACGGGAACCAACTGGATGATGAATTCAAGAACTCTGTTGAATCGTTCGACCTGTCTACTTTCTCGAGGATGACAAAGGAAGACTTACCGTGATATCCCTAGAGATGCCCCGCCCCCTAAAGATAGCCCACCCCTATTTTTGACATGATTTAACTTTTTCTTCAAAAACGTCGAAAGGTAGATTTCTTTTTAGTAAATGCAGTGCCTGGGCCAAGGGTGACTTTGGCAAAAATGGGGTTAGTTAAGTAATGCGGATTCTTAGGCGAGTTGGTTCTGAAACTTTGAGGATTAAACAGTTGAAGTTAGTGCATTGTGTTGTCTCGTTCTTACTCTCGTCCCTGTCTTGAAGCACTATCATGTTCTCAAAGGGGTTAGTTAGCCACGACAGGAGAAAAGCGAACATTTTCTGACTGGTAGGGGGACGGTCGTCTATGCTTCATTACTCCTTGCTGAGATAGCAAGTTTGGCAGGTCACGTGATCTGGAGTGGCACTTTTTCAACTTCTGTTGATTGCTCACCGAGAGTTGGCCCAGTCCTTATTTTCACTCGATTTGCTTTCAATTTTAGGTGGGATAGTACGGTAGTGTGTTTGATGCCATGCATCTGCAAAAGCTCAACAATCTCTCTAGAGACAAACTGCGGACCACTGTCTCACAACCTCTTGCAATAGACCCTCGCGGTAAAGACTAACCTGAAAAATTTTATGACTGAACCAGTTGTGACGTCGTGGGCCGATGCCACCTCGGGCGACTTGCTGTGGTAATGTACCAATGTAATAAAAACATCTCTCTTTAAATGATGCCACACATCCACATCCATGGATGTGTGACAAACTATTTCGGTTGGAGATGCTGGGGATGGCTTTGCCGGCCTGTCTGTGGGCTGACGTGCTGTACAGTTTTGAACCATCATTTTGACACGTTGGTTGACATGAGCCGACGAGTGCAACTCTTTCATGGGTATGGTGGTGCATGCGATTCCCTGTTGTGTCTCGTGTGTTTTCTGCTTGAAACAATGCATCGGTAACTGAGAGTTGGTCACGAACGACAAAATAAGCTAAAAAGTCGGGAGGTATCCCATCTTCTGTCGGCCACATGTTGGAAAGATAAGTCGTGGCAGTAGGCGAAACTGGATCGTGCAACCTTGCTTGCTTGAAATCTCTCTGCGTGAGACTCGCTTAACAAATGGACACGACTTCTTCGAAAACCTTCTCGTCTTTGGCATCCGAGACCGGAATCGAGAAAGGGCGTCAGCGACTACATTGTTGCTGCCTTTACTGTACTTCATGAACTAGTTATAGTTGAACCATCTAGTTGATTGAGCGACTGATGCATCGGGGATGGTCGCCTGTGGCCTTGTAAGGGCATTAACGCTACCAGAGCTTGATGATCGGTATGGATACTGAGTTGCCGACCCCACAAATAGACATCCCATTTCTCGCCAGCCTATAGTATTGAGAAAGCTTCCCCTTCACCTCTGGAAAACTTGTGTTCAGAGCGAACGAGAAGCGAAAGTGACTGTTCTTGGACAATTTCCCTGCTGTTGTTGAAGAACGGCTCATAAGCCGTAGTTTGAGGCGTCGGTTGAAGCGACGACCGGAAGTGTGGGACGGAATGTCCACAGAATGGGTGCCTGCTGGATGCAGGACTTGACATGTTGGAAACTGGCCTGTACATTAGGGGATTGGACAAGAGACGCTCCCTCACGTAAAGGACGTCACAGGGGTTCTACGACAGTCGCACAGCGTGGAACGACTTTACTATAATGCTCCACAAGGCCCAAAAATGCCTTCAAGTGGGAAGGTTGAGACGGAACTGGAAAGTTCAAGACAGCGTCCATCGTTGACGGCTGGGAGCTAGGCCTTCCGCGGACAATGGCCAAGAAACAACAGTTTGGAAACTTTGTAAGCGGCTTTCTTGTTGAGTTTCACCCCGTTCTTTTTGATGTTTGAGGACTTGACAGATATTGTCATTGTGCTCTTTTTGAGACAACCCATGGAACTAAATGCCCGAACAATACTTAGGGATTTTCGACATGACAGCTGGAAAGCCGCTGGTGCAGGCACCGGACCGAAACACACTCGTTTAAAAACAAAAGAGACCTTCATGGGAGATAAAATCGGTAAGATTGCGAATCTTTATACCTAGTCGGATCTGATGATATGCGGATGCGGGATCTAACTCGGAAGAACGAGATGCTATCCTGAGGAGTTCCAAAGCTCTTCGACGTACTGGAGTGGAAAGGAGTCTACTATGACTGCTTGATTCAGCGCCTGCAGATTAACACTCAAACGGATTCCACTGCCTCGGTGCTCCAGCTCGTGAATCTTCGCGTTGGCCGCGTCATGCAGAGCGATCGGTAACCGACCAAGTTTAGCCTGAACCAAAGGAACTCGGTAGCAAACAGTGACAGTGTGGGTCTGATTTTTAGCAAGACCCAATTCAGAAGAAAACAGTTCTTCGAATTCCTCAAAGCCAAAAGGAAGTCTAGGTATATTTCTCACTGAGGAAAGATGTGGATTCCATTGCGTTGCAGATGAATCTCTTGAAACCTGGTCGCTGAAACGCCAGAACTTAGAAATCGCGCCGGTGACGACGATGTTGGTTGTTTGCTAGAGGCATCCAAAGGTCTCTGTG